TAGCAAATACATCCCACTGGGAAAGTATAGCAAATACATCCCACTGGCTCTTAGCACCGGCATCTTTAAGACACAGCTTCTTTCTGATATAATATGCATATTCCTCTCTCTTTTCTTTTTTGTTTTTTATTTTCTTTTATTGAAAATAGCTCCTCCCCCACTAACCTTATATATCTTGATTACTGTCTGTCCTCCCTCTGCCCCTCCCAGCTCCTCCCCTTTCCCCCCTACCCAGATCCACTCCTTTTCGATCTTTCATTAGAAAACAAACAGACTTCTAAGGGATAGTAATAAAATAAGGTAAGGCACAATTCAATAAAATATAATAAGATAAAACAAAAACCCTAAATATTGGAATTGAACTAAACAAACAAAAAGAAGGAAAAGAGCCTAAGAGAAGGCACAAGAAACAGAGACCTACTCAGGAACCCCATAAAAACACTGGTCTGGAAGCCATAATATATATGCAAAGGACATGGTGCAGACCCGTTCAGGCCCCTGGCATGGTGCTTCTGTTTCTGAGTTCATATAAGCTTTGCTTGTTGATTTAGAGGGCCTTGTTTTCTTGGTGTTCTCTGTTCCCTCTGGCTCTCACACCCTTTCTGCCTTCTCTTCCTTTGATACAGACTTTTAAAGTAGACCCGGAATGCTTTTTTCTACTTCTTTCTCTTCTGGCAGGAAGCATGACCTAGAGTGGAATTTGGACTTTTCCAGTTAGATTGCCAGTCATTTTTATATAGGGATGAATGGTCACACCACAAGCTGGAGATGGAACCTTCTAGAGAAAGGGTTCTGCTTGGTGACTCACTAAAATAGTACAGAGACGAACTGGTCCTCATCAGAAGCACTTAGAATCGAATGTGTCTTAGAATTCAAAACTGTTCTGCATTCTAGGTGTTGGGGAGAGCGCTCAGCAGATGATGTGTTTCCTGTGCAGGCATGAGGTCATAAGTTCAGATCCTTAGCACCCTCTAGACCAGTGGTTGGACCTTCCTAACGCTTTAATACAGTTTCTCAATAAGAAAGAGAACTCAGCAGGTTCTCTGTATCCATGCTGTTCAGCCAGGTGAGCCCTCTTAAGTGCCTTGGATATCACCTATACCCAAATTTTTAAAATTTTAGCATGGGGGGGTTTGTGAAATCACAGAATCTTAGGATCCTGTTCCAGAAATTCTCAATCCATAGGCCTGGAGTTGGACCCCAAATCTATACCTCCTAGAAATTGTGAAATGACGTCTTATCACGCCTACTTCATGCTACATGGCTGGATCCAAAGACTCTTAGCACGAATAATAAAAGCGACTCATTGAGTGTTCCCTGTGTGTTATACATTTTATTAATTCTTTTACTCATGTTAATTTGTTTTTATTGATATGGGCTCTTTTTACATTTATTTTATTGGGGGGCCATGCACATGTCATGGTACTATGAAGGTCAGAGGACAACTTTCAGTGGTCCTTACACCATGCGGGTCCCAGGGATCAGGGCATCCGACTTCTTGGTGGGCTCTTTTAACTCCGTAGCTATGTCACTGGGTCCATGGTAACCTTATTATTACATTTTATTTTATAATAGTCTTTTAAAAACTAATAATAGCTTCACTGGATCATCTCTATGGCCATCTTGTCCTGACATTTGCACTAATTACCATGAGAGTTCATGTGTGCGTGATCCCATTAAAAGCAAGAAATATGAGTTAATTATCAAGAGTAGTGAGAAAATAGCAAAGATAAACGTAATGTGCACTATGCGTCCCCAGCTCAGGCTAAACTGGGCTCTGAACGAACCAAGATGCCGCTGGGACCGCAGCAGGAGAGAACTGGAGCCTTTTATGGCGCACGGAGTTAGCTCGCCAAAATCAAGAGGCCATGCTTCACTGACCGTTCAAACAACAAACACACATAACATATAATTTATAAATGTGGTTATTTTCTTGCCTATAAACCTGGTTCAAGAAATTGTAGCAGCCAATACAGTAGAATTGTACTGAAAGCAAAACGAAAGCTCTCACCTTTGCAGCCCTCGCAGGTGAGCGCATTGTAGTGGTACCCAGAGGCCCGGTCTCCACAGACAACGCACAGCTCATCCCCTTTTATTCTTCCCGCCGATGACGTGGTCATTCGTGGCTTCTTTGTCACAGGCATCTCTGACACCTCAGTCTCTCCCTGGTACACAGTCTCAGCGGGCATTCGCCTGAGTTCATAGATTCCAGAAGAGTACCAGTCTTCTGGTTGTTGGGGGTAGAAACCCAGGTTGGAATAATAGGACGAGGACGAAATCTGTGGCTGAACTTGAGGAAACTGGACATTATTGTATGGGGAGTACGATTCCAAATCCAGATTCTGCCCCAGAGGACCCGCCGCATGCTCTGTTAGCATACCTGAACCAAAGGATCAACAAAACAGGAATTAATGTCATCATTCTAGAAAGTAGAGCAACATGTCAGGTCTAATACTGAAATGAAAATGTATTTCAGCATAAACTATGAACATATATAAAAGCTAAAACTACAAAATATTTTTAACTATATAAAATTAACTTTTGCCAGGCAGTGGTGGCACACGCCTTTAATCCCAGCACTTGGGAGGCAGAGGCATGCAGATTTCTGAGTTCGAGGCTAACCTGGTCTACAGAGTGAGTTCCAGGACAGCCAGGGCTATACAGAGAAACCCTGTCTCGAAAAAACAAAAAGCAAGAAACAAAAAACAAACAAACAAACAGACAAAACTTTTAAAATACCTGTTTATCTGTAAATATATCGAATATATCGATATATATACATATATATACACATACACATGCACGTATGTGAGGATGTATATACACATATGTACATATATATACATGTAGATAATAAATTATAACCTCAGGGACAAAATGTGCAACATGGAGGTCTAATGAATGGCATGTTGCTAATTTGTAATGAGCTCTTGCAACTAAGAGAAGACCCTCAAGATACTCAAGACCCTTTGGAAAAAGGATAAAAGTCATAAAATCGTTTTTAGAAACTATTTTATAAACCCACAAAACATTTCCCTTGTAAAAATAAATTTAAAAATAAGCTCAAATTAAATCTATAATGTACTCATTTTTATACTCAAATTATGAAGATTTTAAGTTTGATGATAAACATTCTTAGGAAAACAAACACTCTTAGAGGGAAATTTGTTAGTATCCTTCAGCATTTACAACTCTAACCACTAGCATTAAGTTTTTCAGTGCCAAGAAAATATAAATTATACATATTTAATTCTACATGGAAGGAATTTTTGTACAAATGAAGACACCTTGTAAGAATCAGAAATTGGAAACAGTCTTACCTGTAGGAGTATGGTTGAAAAATTGCAGTGTTTGTACACAGCTTTTATTCAAATGTACAAGAATAATGATAGTGGTGATATGGGAGGGGCTTTACTTCCTGCAGCTATTATTTTTAAAAAGTGAACTGTAGAAAAGTGTGTGTATTAATGAATATAAAAGTATTTTGTGTGTGTGAGTGAGTGAGTGTGTGAGTGAGTGAGTGTGTGAGTGAGTGTGAGTGTGTGTGGGTGTGAGTGCATGTTATAGATAAAGCAACTTTCTTCATGATCTTTAACATACTGGGGTAAGAAACTACACGCAATTTTTACTATTTTTACTATTTTACTATTTGCGGTTTTTGTCACAGGCACATTACTTTAATTGTTGTGACATAGAAGAGAGCCTTTGAAAAGAAGAATGCACTACCTAGCAGCATTAATCTTCCTGGATTCAAACCCATGGTCTGTTACTTACTCTCCTGGTGCCGAGTTTACTTCACGCCTATACTTTTCTCTTCATATAAAGGGCATAGTAACACCTATCAATAACAACTGAGGTGCTGTAAGGATTACGTGAGATAAGGCATGCCACGTACTTTGTTATAGTCCATACAGAGGTGCCCCAAACTTGTAGATGACATTAAAATAGGGAGTATAATTATTGCTAAAACCATTATTGCTAAATAATATTTTTAGATAAAAATGTCTAGGTAACAAATACTAGCAGGTTGTGAAAAGGCTTCTGTCTTTGGAAATAAAAGCTATGCTCTTTAGAATACAAAATGGATAAATTATGCAAAATGCTAGAAGAAAAAAGACATAGGTAAAAGATAAGATAGTGTATAGAGCCGGGCAGTGGTGGCGGACGCCTTTAATCCCAGCACTTGGGAGGCAGAGGCAGGCGGATTTCTGAGTTCCAGAGTTCGAGGCTAGCCTGGTCTACAGAGTGAGTTCCAGGACAGCCAGGGCTACACAAAGAAACCCTGTCTCGAAAAAAACAAACCAAAAAAAAAAAAAGAAAAAAGAAAAAAAAGATAGTGTATAAGTACATCTGATTCTTTAACACACTCTCAGACAACTCTAGAGGACAATTCCAGCTGTATCTTCCCTGAATATTAGAACTTTAAGAAATATGTTGTTGACATCCAATGTTCACACCTCAAGCTGGAGATGGAAACTCCGAGGTAAAGGGTTCTGCTGGGGACTCACTGAAATAGTACAGATGCACTGGTCCTCACCAAAATCACTTAGAATTGAATGTGTCTTAGAATTCAAAACTTTTCTCAATCTTAGGGGTGTTGGGGAGAGCAATGAATGAATGAAGTGTTTACTGTGCAGCCAAGAGGACATGAGTTCAGATCCTTAGCACCCTCTAGACCAGTGGTTCCCAACCTTCCCAACGCTGCAAACTTTTAATACAGTTCCTCGTGTTGTGATGACCCCAAGCATAAAATCATTTCATTGCTACTTCATAACTGTAATTTTGCTACTGTTATGAATCATAATGTAAGTGTCTGATATCCAATCCGTGTGGGGATCACAACCCATGTGTTGAGAACCATTGCTCTACAAAGCCCTGGAGGCTTAAACCTGTAATGCCAGCTCTGGGGAGGTAGAGGCAAGAGGACACCAGAAGCTCAAGAACCAGCCAGTCTTGCTGAAATGGTACAATTCCAATTCAGTGAGAGAACCAGAAATAAGGGTGGGGGGAGAGAGATAGAATGTGTTCGCTGGACTATACTTAACTTCAATCTCTAGCCTTCTACATGCATACATGGGTGAGCACATTTCCTACACACACACACATCTCCCCCTGAACAACAATACAATTGATAAAATAACTAAATAAATAAAATTTAGAACCCCTTGATTTGGGCAAGGGCCTAGACTTGATCCCCAGAACTACAGAAAAGAGAAAAAGCATTTCTTTTAGATTTCAGAACACTTTGTATTTTTTTCTTTGTTCTGTATGTGGTGTTCACACCACTGGGTAGAACTCAGTATCTGAAGTGTATGAAGCAAACAGGAATGTTTTCCTCAGTGCCATTCTGCAAATATTCACACAGGAGAATAAATAAATAATTTGTTTGTTTGTTCGTCTAACCAGTGTTTCACATCCTTCAGCCCAGGAATGGCATATATATGAATGAAATCCTACTGAACTTAAAATGATTTCTACTAGTTTGGGAATTTGGAATTGGACTCAGGGATTCTGGACCTGTGCACTAGGCTTCGAAAATGTTCTTCAAGGTGCTCAAATGGTTGATGTTATTGTCATTATTACTAGTAGCAGAAATTTTTATGAATTCCTTCCTGCCACTGAGCATTTATATATTCTTGCTATTCCTTGCAAGCATGCGATGAGGTACTATGACCCCTCCTGCACACACACACAAGCTGTATTATTCACAATTAAGACAATCCAGTGCTGTTTGTTTCTACTGCAGGACAGAATGTCTTTGCTGAAGTTACTTCTTACTCCTACCCGCCTAAGTACTTGAGACCTTAGAGTCTGACTGCAAAACCCATGCATGGAATCACTCTACTCTATGCGATGCTGTCACATGTGAGACACTTCCTAGATAAGTAGGTAGATAGATAGATAGATAGATAGATAATAGATAGATAGATGATAGATAGATAGATAGATAGATAGATAGATAGATAGATAGATAGACAGGGAATGACTTTCTCTTCCTCTGCTTTCTTTACTAGAGATAGTAAATTCTGCTTGCACATAAAATACAAACAGGCCTGCAAGACCTGTTTGCACAATCCTTTCTCTTCCACCCATTCCCCACTTTCCAGTTTCTCTGTTTCTTGGGTATCTTGCTGTTTCCAGTCTCCCTCATGCCTCCTGAGCCTGAGCCCTTCCTGGGCACAGCCGCTCTCTTCCAAAGCTCATCAAATCCAGTTTCATGTGGCTACAAATATTGCTGTAAGGACCGCTTTGCTCTGCTTGTTTTCTCAGACTCTACATCTTAACAGTCACGGTTCTGAGTTTAATTAAATGGTGCCTACAAACCATTATTTACTACCTTGCCTGGGTCTCTCTTTGCTCTTCTATAAAGAAAGGATATATGATCTTCTAGTCCTTTCTATCTAAAAATCTCATAAGTATTAGACTTGTCTGTGGGTATTAGAATTCAGAACTTTTCTACAATGGCAAAGCAGAATATTCACATATTAAATATTGAGAACACATTCTACACTGACCCAGGAAATGACTGACCAAACACACAATATACTGTATCTGTGCAGACATCAATTTCCCTCCTTTCCTGCCTAACTTGTCTGGATCAGCTGGGGAAAAAAAATCAGTGCATCTGACTAACAAAAAGATTTTAGTAAAGCCATTTTGTTTTATGAGTACAAAATAGAAGGATAAAGTATAAAATTATTATAGATAAAATGTAAGCAAAATCCCAACCCATTTCATAATCATAGAATATAACTAAAAATCCAGAAGCAAATAACATGTAAAAGAACTGAAAAGTAGTAACATTAGTTTCACTTTTTCCTAGATTTTTGTCTTCTAGAATGTTCTCTCAATTCTCCCTCCACCCTGAGTCCAGCTTCCCACCATCACAAAGTCAAAGGCCCAGTTAACACCAGAATCTAAATTCCGTAGGATCCAGGGAAATGGTTAAATTTTTCTCACATGATACGTCGAGGTCTCTGAACATAATTTCAGTAAAGCAAATATCTCCATAATCAAGAAAAAAACAGAGCCCCAACTCAGGTTAGTTAATGGCATCAACATCATGTCTATCCCTGGAGCCATCTAACATAAAACACGAAGAGGGATGGGAGATGGCCCGGGCAGTCAAATACCTGCCACACATGTGTGAAGACCTAAATTCCTCAAAACCATGTCAAAAAGCCAGAAGAGCTCCAAGGCTCTTCTTGATTTTGAATTGTTAGTAAGCCCATCTAAGAACTCAGAGACATGAGGCTCACTAGCCAGACAGCCTACTTGACAATCATAGGGTCAGTGAGAGATCTTGTCACAAGAAAACCCTGAAGAACCAAGCAAAGCCAGTGACAGTACCTAAAACATCTGAGGATGACTTCTGGCCTC